GCCCGCCGAGCAATTCACGTCGTGAGGCCGCTGGCTTAAGAGACGTGCTAAACCTAGGCGAAAGCCTGCCTGGTAACTGAGCGCCCACAGCGCAAAGTTCCCATGGGGGCTGTACTTATACAATACCCAGGAGGAGATGCCCGGGTGGAGGCCAGTACAATTCAATACGGTTAATACAAGTCACAGTGGCACAGTAAGATGGCATTCACGAATTGTTTCTCTAGGGCAGAGAGCAAGGGGGTCCAAACTCTTTTAATTTAATTAACTCTCTTCAGTCTCCGGAAAACAATCTCCTCCACACACATAAGGGCTGACGGCACATGCTTGGGCTACCATCCTCCTCCGACGTCCACAGGCGCTTCGGCCTATAGGGGCACCATGCAGCACAAGCGCGACGACAGTAGTTACGGTCTTTATTGACCGGCGCCGTTTCCAACGTACAGTGGTACGGGTTAACACACGAAACCTCAATCCCCTTGCCGAAGTCAAAGCGGCCACGGCCGCAGAGATGGGAAACCTCCATAGCGGGGGTAGCGGCGAGATTGGCGGCGGGTAGCGGTGGCGTAGGAAGAAGTGCTAGGTTCTTTAAGAAAAAAAGAATCCGGTGAATCCCCCACTTATTACGTTCACCTTTGGCGGAGATTTTTCGCATGGGGTAGCCTGCGCCGTCAGATTGGCGGCCAGGAAGGAACCAACAGGAACTTGTCGAAGCGGGCGCGTTCGTCTCAGCGATTTTACTGGTAAGCTGCCAGCGCTGTTAGTGAACCTCTGCTCACCTGCGTTTGGTAGAGGAATAGGCATGTGTGTTTCGACTTACCTCGTCGGCGAGTTTCTCCCATGTGAGGCAGCGGCCGCGGCATTTTCAGCTCACTGCCTGATCCTCCTAGATCCCCGATCATTCTCGCAGGCGTGCTGTTTCGCTGTGCGTGGTGGACTTGACTGGACTAGTCCTGATGACAACGTAGGCCCTTGTCATAAGTGTAAGCAAAGCGGTGAGCCGGGCGGGTCAACTTCGAGGCTTTTGAAGCTGCTATCGAATTCAGGGCTTTCGAGGCTTTCAACTGCTATCGAATTCGAGGCTTTTGAAGCTGCTATCGAAGTCGGGGCTTTTGGGGCTTTCGAGGCTTTTCAAGCTGCTATCGAATTCAGGGCTTTCGAGGCTTTTCAAGCTGCTATTGAAGTCGGGGCTTTTGGGGCTTTCGAGGCTTTTCAAGCTGCTATCGAATTCAGGGCTTTCGAGGCTTTTCAAGCTGCTATTGAAGTCGGGGCTTTTGGGGCTTTCGAGGCTTTTCAAGCTGCTATCGAATTCAGGGCTTTCGAGGCTTTCAACTGCTATCGAATTCGAGGCTTTTGAAGCTGCTGCTGAATTTGAGGCTTTTGAGGCTTTAGGATTTCCTAGAGCTTCTTTTTATTTTCCCCTGCCGGGGGGGCCGCCTGCAGCGGGCCTCTTGCCTGCGGCGCTGAAGCTGTTGAAGCTGTTGAAGCTGTTGAAGCTGTTGAAGCTGTTGAAGCTGTTGAAGCTGTTGAAGCTGTTGAAGCTGTTGAAGCTGTTGAAGCTGTTGAAGCTGTTGAAGCTGTTGAGGTGCGGGCGGCGTGGTGGGGCTAGGTGGCCTTGGAAGGTGCCTACAACACCAAAAGGCAGGTCCGTGATGATCCACAAGCTACGTACCGGCCTGTAAATTTAAGCTAATAGTAGCAATTTAAGGTCATTTTAACCAATTATAAATCAGTATTTCACGTGTTGAGGCTTGTAATTGTGGTGGCGTAGCACTCTTAACCTCTTATTAAAAAAGCAAAGCGGAAGCTACGCTCCCTTGCTTGCCTGCTCTTCGCATTAATGACGCAAATCTCAAGCAAAGCGCCGCTTTGCTTAATTATTGGGGCCCCATCCAGATGTCCTCTCACTGTTCGTACTCATGGGTGGAGGCAAGTGACCAGTCAGGCAGCACATAAAGCCTCACATGAAAGTGCTGGCTTTCGAGTTGGTAACATTTGAACCCCGGGTGCTGCCTGGCAGCCTGGAGCCGCTCATCATTCAGCGGCAGGTACTAGACCATCAATCCTTACCTCGCCGGACCAGACCAGGCATCACTGTCACGGGTTCCATCGCCGGCGGCACTCCTCAGCAGAACCGAGAGAGCCATCAAGCCAAAGGATGTGCGACCAACCTTTCCACCGAAATGATGACTTGCACACATCCTGAAACCGACCTACTGGCCTCGGAAATCGCAGTCGACGTTTAACTGCCGTGCGCCGACTTCCTCCTCTGGACCAATGATATAACGGTCCGATCGGAATAGTGCTCGCTCACGCTCGGATGCGCGACGTCACCACACCGGCACTCCGTCTGCGATCGAGACTCCACTCCCGGAACTGTTTACAAACATGATGGGCTTATTGGTGTTACACGAAGTTACCTTGGTGCCAAGTCGGGTACGTGGTTGTTTCGAATCATGCGGTAATCAGAGTCGGCAAAGACATGCTGAAGACAGCAGTAAGCAGCAAGCCAACAATAGGCGAGCTATGCTGCTGTGAATGTGACGTGCACGGCAGCACCGGAGAACAAGGCCGTCCCACCAAGATATAATATGCCATCAGATCAGGGCTCGCTCGCTCACTCTCTATTTATTGGACTTGATTTGTGCCATAATCAGTGCTAGAATTACAGCCGCAGTATATTGACGCCGCGACACATTCCGAGTTTACAGCCATGACGCCGTCAGTCCAGACACTCGTACAGCCTTGCCCTGTCACTCCCAAGGATTATATCGACTATTCCGTAAACACCGCAGATACGGCAAGCGATGACTCGGTACTACCATCAGTTCCGGACTACCTCAAAGCCTTACCAGCTAGGCATCTGGAACCGCTCTGGTCCAGAATGGATGCTATGGTCCCTCGCACACCTAATCCGGTTGCGAAGCCCTACATCTGGAAATACAAGAGTACATTGCCATTGCTGTCAGCCGCAGGGAAACTGGTGCCGGAGGAGGAAGCGGAGAGGAGGGTCTTGATGCTTGTGAATCCCAGCATGAGTAAGTCCAACGAGACAATTATTCGCCCCATTCACTTTGTATTTTTGAATTATAACATGATGTACCTGGCCGCCCCTATTTACGGCGGTATGCTTACAAAGTTTCAATGCGCAGATGCCCCTCACACAACAGACACAATCTACGCTGGCCTCCAGCTCGTCAATCCTGGAGAAACGGCGCCTGCCCATCGACATACGGCGTACGCGTGCCGCTTCATCATCTCTGGTGAAGGCTTCACAGCTGTGGAGGGCAAGAAAATGCCCTTGATTAGGGGCGATGTCGTGGTGACGCCTTCCTGGCACTGGCATGATCATGGGAATGAAAGCAAGAATCCAGTGATATGGCTAGACGCGTTAAATCTGCCCCTTTTCACATATGCTCGTGTGCACTTTGCAGAAAACTACGCCGCTAGTCGATATCCCAGCACGTAAGTTGCCCTATTGATTCACAAATCGAGGCCCATGAATTTGTATGGGGTTGTAATTTTGGCCTCATATCTGTACTGAAAAGCTCCCGAGATGCTAATTGCCAACGTCTCCAGGCTCGGTAGCTTTTGTGAGTGGCGCCATCCTTGGGAAACGACCCAACGGGCATTGGATGCTATGCCAGGACCCCATGTCACGTACCATTACAAAACTACTGACGGCAACGCGCTGTCTACTACACTTGGCGTTCAGGCACAACGTGTCAACGCCGGCGTGACAACAGAGATTATGCAAGACACTAGCTCCTTTATCTACCACTGCTATGAAGGGAGAGGCTACTCCGTGGTAGAGTCCTCTGTAGGTGCGGCAGAGAAGTTGTACTGGGAGACAGGAGACACATTCGCTGTACCGGCGTGGTCAAAGGTGCAACATGTCAATGAAGGTGCGAACGCGGCCTATTTGGTAGCAGTTCATGATGGACCCTTCTTGGACAGGCTGGGCCTAAAGGGGCATCCGAACTAAGTGGGATTTGTACATGTACGGGGGGACCGCCATGGTATTTGTGGCGTAGATTGAAACCATCCGATAGTCTGTTAGCATCAAGCTTAAAGAATGCGCATAGCCCAAGACTGTCCATCTTGTACCGTTGATACCTTGGTGAGATGCGACTGTCATGAGCTTGGTAGGCGAAAAATGCTGGCAAAATTAAATTGAAACCACATAATTCTCTCAGAATAGAGGACACTAAGGAACAACTCACAAGCCAGGAAGTTCTTTCTTGCGTCATTGAGGCTAGTTTAAGAGTTATCCCAATCGGCAATAAGGAGACCGGCCTTGATAATAGACATTCAACAAGTGGAGGCAACGTCATGCGAGAAAAATCCTGGCAAGATGGATACGCACGTGGAAGGATCATTTGGGACTAATTTGGGCATAAAGGTGTTACACTCTTGTCAAAAGACGGAGCTGAGCGAACAATAAGACAGCCTGCAGGAGCAGAATGAAGCAGTTTTTGTCGCCAGGTTAAAGGGTGTTTTATCTGATTTCATGAAAAAATGCACATTATGGGCACCTCACCGCCAGCATGACGAGAAGAAAAGAAAAGCAAAGAACGCATGATACGGAAGTTTTTGCCATGTGAGCATGGAAGTATACTCGCGAAAATAGTGTGTACGCCTTGGGCGACAGGTCCACTGGTAAATTTGAAACGAGAAGGACGATAAAATGTATATCGAGATACTGTTCAAAATAGCCTCGGATAAATGAGATTAGTTACAATGGAACAAAAGACCAAGATGAACACTTCCCGATGGCGGAGACGGCAAAAACTTCAAAATGATGCAACTATAATGTGGTACGCAATCTTGTCAAAAGATGTGATGCGTTCAAAACTACACACACTCTCAGTTTCTCCATCTAAACTCGGGATGTTTCCAGTCCAGGTCCCGAATTTCCTCCATGGTCTTCCCCTCCAACTCTGCCACAACATCCACAGTCTCTCTCCTCTGATTGTCTCTCTTCACCCAGAAGTACAGCACTGTCGCAATGATAATCATGCTGGCCTGTGCCGCCAAGTTCAACCCATTACCAACCTTGTAATGGGGTGCGTCAGACGGGAGGAATGCCCACGTTGAGATCAGCCCGCCCATGTTGCCCAACATGACATTGGTCGCTATGGCAGACGACTTGGCCGTGTCGGAGACAACATTTGCCGCGACGTGAGAATTCGTCAAGGCGCCATAGGTAAATATGCCCATGAAGGGGAGAAACGTCGCCCCATACCGCACGTTGGGGTTCGTGGACGCGAGGAACATGGCATAGCCGACGACCGTCAAGGGGGCGCAAAGAATCATAAAGATGCCTCTCCTGTTGACACGCCAGGAGACGTAGCTAGTTGCTGCGCATGTAATTGCGCCCAACACATACGGTGGAACCGTGAGCAGTTGTTGGCTGGAAACGCTGTGGGTGGGAAAGATGGTTTTGACGATTGTGGGCAGAAAGAACGACACGCCGTGGACGGTGATGCTGTTGAGGAGGAAGATGACGGACGTGGGGAGCACCACCGGGTTGAAAATGCCGAGCCGGATTCGTTTCCAGCTGAACTGATCGACGAGCTCAGTGGTGACGATTCGATCGGCTTTGAGCCGTGCGATGGCGAGTTCCTTCTCCGACTGTGTAAGCCAGAGAGCCGTTTCAGGACGGTCCGGGAGGGCAAAGAAGCAAATTATGCCTAGTACCGCGGTTGCAGTGCCTGGGAGGAGTGTGTGAGACATGGAATCGGTGTGGTGCAAGCTGCCACGAGGCACGACTGACCTTCAATTGCAAATATCATCCTCCAGGAATGCAGGCTGCCAAAACTGTCGAGCCTCAGAATAGCCGATGCCAACAAGCCACCGAATGCGCCGGCCAGAGACGCCGAGATGATGAATAGCGACACTCTAAACGTCAGTTCGCTTTGGCGATACCATCTCGACAGAAAGTAGACGAGTGATGGCATCATGCCCGCCTCCAAGATGCCGAGCAAAAATCGCACTGCACACAGGGTCGCAAAGTTGGTCACAAAGGCCGTGCAAATGGTGAGAATGCCAAAGCCCAGTGTGATGGAGGGGATGAACCATCCAGGGCCCATGTACTTGCATAATGCGTTGCATGGGATTTCGAAGACAATGTATGAAATGTAGAAGACGGACAGGCTTGCATTGTAGTCATAGTTGCGCAGACCGAGGTCTTTTTCGAGACCGGCGAGGCGGGCATTGCCTGGCGTCGGTGAGTCATTCATTGTCCATAACATGAGCTCGCAGTTCCCCAAGGTTCTTACCAATGTTTGAGCGGTCAATGAAGGAAAGCACTGCAGGCGGATTAGTTGACTGTTGAGAAACTGCTGGCACTGGCTG